TCCACATCGAGAGCATCCGTTCTGTGTCATGCATGTGAGGTCACATACCGATCTGCCAGGAGAAATCGCAGAAGGGAATCATAAAGCAGACTCCCTGGCCACCCCAGCCAAAAGGGTGTGCCTCCCAGACATCTTCCAGCAGGCAAAGCCGAGCCACTAGCAATAACATCAGAATGTGCCAGGTCTGATCTATCAGTTCCAACTAACAGGGAGTCAGGCTTGAGCCATTATGGTACCTGTTCCAGCTGCCAGCTCCAGGTCATGCCATCACTGGGTATTGGGGTTAGCCCTTGAGGTCTTGGGAGCTGCAAAGTGTGGTAGACACATGTAACACACATTCCCAGTTTTGATCGCCTTATATATGTACACATAAGCATTGACACATATTCAGGTGCAGTTTATGCCTCTGCCCACACAGGAGAAAGGGCTGTGCATGCCAAACAACACCTAGTGCAGGCCTTTACAGTGCTGGGGGTCCCTATGGAAATTAAGACCAACAATGGCCCAGTGTATGCATCCAAGGAGTTCCTAGAGTTTGTCCAGCAGTGGGGGGTGGAACATAAAACTGGCATCCCCCACTCCCCCACAGGTCAAACTGTGATTGAGCTTGCCCACCAGATGCTCAAGCAAGTCCTGGCTAGACAGAGCGGTTCAACAGTGTGGATGTCATCACAACAAAAGCTCTGCAAAGCTGTATTTACAATTAATTTTCTAAATTGTTCTTTGGAAAATATGAGTCCTCTGGTAGTATGTCACTTTAACAGCAGTGATCAGTTTAAGTTGTCTCAGTGTCCACCAGTTCTATTAAAGGACCCAGAAACTTGGGAGACCAAGGGCCCTTACAAACTTGTTACCTGGGGGCATGGCTATGCGTGCGTATCTACCCCCTCAGGCCCGTGTTGGATAACCCAAAAGTGAGTAAAACCTTTCATCCCCAAAAATTCAGCTCCAGCAGAAGGCGATAAAAAGCAAGTAACTGTTGCTTCAAAAAGAAGATACCGCCAGAAGTGGAGAGAAAACCTTCCTCTGATCTGGTTACATTCCAGCAGACACAGGAACTTTTAATATGCTTTAAAATGTTTGTTTTTATTTTTAGAAAAAAACCTACCTCCCCCCCAACTTCACAGTGAGCCCTATCCAAGTTGTCATCCAGTTCGTGCTGAGCAGTCTGACAGACATGTGGATCATCCCTCAGCCACACCAAAACATCTGGGTGACCCTGGCACAGATGCTCCAAATAGAAAATATATGCCTGTCCACTGCAGCAGCAAGAGATCTTATGTCTACCTGCCTGGTAGAAATTCCATTGTAAGCTGGAGAATATCCAGCCAGCTTTGACACATCTATGCCTAACCCAGGTCCAAAGTCATGCAACATCTGAGAATGCAAAAAGCGTCATCAGTGGGCTGTAATGGTTAAGAACCCTGTAGAAGAATGGCTACCAAATTTGCCCAAAGCAGCTCAGGAACCCCAAGAATTAGAGGTATTGGGTTCCTCTCCAGCACCATACTGCATTCACTTTACCTTCAGCCCATTATCTAACACTAAAGCCTTTCACACCATACTGTAATCTTGGGAGGAATTCACCGCCAAAAAGTGGTGTTATATTCTGAGCCATGTTACAGCAGACAATCTCTACCATTCACATCCCAAAAACCTCCCTAAGGGTCTGTTCCTAACTTGTGGAGGTCGAGCATGGACAGGAATCCCTTCTTGACTTTTAGGAGGGCCATGTACCATCAGGCGGTTGTTCCTGTTAGCACCTAATCAAACCTTAATTGGCAAATGGATTCATAAAAACAATTCAGCCAACAAAATTCAAAAGCACAGTGCTGACAAATTGGACCCAAATTGTGATTCCAAAATTTTTTCATTGGGCCAGGTAAAAAAGAATTGCTGCTTCAATATTCCTTGCATGGGTCACAGCAGCCAAAGCTCTAGGTGAATTGGGCTACCTAGAGTGCTGGGTGGTCAAACAGGCAAACTTAACATCTACCACCATCAGCTCCCTCCTGGAAGATGAGGAGATTACCAGGCAGGACACACTCCAAAATCATGCAGCCATAGACTTCCTCCTCCTGCTGCTGCATGGACACGAGTGCCATAATTAGAAGTACTTTGTTGCCTGAACCTAACCTCAAAAGCTCCCAACATCCACGCAGCCCTCTGAGAAATGAAAACCATGATTGGACGAGTAAAGCAAGAGTCCTAAGACTGGTTCAGTGGACTGTTCAAAGGCTGGAGACTCATGGGGTGGTGGACTTAAATAGTTAAAACAATTCTGTCATTTCTTCTTGTTATTTTTCTAATAGTGTTGGCATTCAGAGTTCTACGTTACTTAATTTTTAAAGCCATTAACAGTTTAATCCCTACTACCTCAGAAGTCAACCACATGGAGTTAGCAGACCAAAGGCAATCTAACCAGCCCACAAATCATAAGTGGTGGAAAAATTCATATTCGGAATCAGAATAAGCCCGACACCCTTTTTTAACATTATTTACAAATAAGGGGGAGATATTGTATTGCACTGGGTGGTTAGTTTCGTATCACAGAATTCATGGTTGTTAAGTTGCACTGAATGGTCTATTCTGTTCTCCCCCCCCAAGTTTGTGATGTGGTTTCATCCTCCCATCACCCCTCCCCTTCGGTTGTATCCCATTGGTCAGGGTCCTGTTCCTCCCCCTCCCCTTTCCCTGGGCTTAAAACCTCCTGCCATTTTCTGTTTGGTCTCTTTTCTCTCCCCTCCCGCCTGGAAGCTACAATAAACAGTGGAACCATTTCCCACGGGAGAAAGAGCCTCCTTTGGTCTTTTGCCTTTGTCCTTGTTGGCATTTCTCCATCCCCCGAGGACCAGAGCTAGCCAAGAGGACCCAGGGAGAAAGGAAAACTGACAACTTCCATTTTTGCAGATGGGTTTGAGTGGTGAGTCATCCCTTCTCTCTTTGAACTACCCTCTTTCCCGGTTGGGTGTAGCCTAAAGGAGATGGAGCAAAGTCCTGGTTTTACCCAGGTGGAGCTTTGCTGCTGCAGCACAGCTCTCCATGTGGCTTCCTTTGCAGGAAGCACTCAAGATGACCCGCAAGGTTTCCAACTTTCCTCTTTTCTTTTGGGAAAAAAAACATTCCCTAAGTGCTTTTCTTCCTGTTCATCAAATTACTTAAACTGTTGATTCTTAGCCCACTTTAAATGAGGTTTTGAGCTCTGGCCTGGGTACAGCATTCAGTGTCTGCCCCAGCAAAACCAGGCCCATGACCTTTATTGCAGGAACGGCATCATTAGCTTAGGGTTGGTTTATTGTCTGAGGAGAATGGAGGGTACTGCTTCCCAGCCAGTATAAATAGAATTGAGACAGTTTTAGGAAAAAAGAAGTATATCTGTTTGTTGAAGTACATCTTCCTCAGTAATTTATCTTGTCTGCTTTTCTTTGTTTAGAACTAAGAACTTACATGGAGAAAGGGACAAAAAAGACTATAGGGTATTTCACTTTAATAGTCATCAAACCTGCTTGATAATATCTGTTCTTTTGCATTGGAAACATCATGGGAAAAACTAAAAAAATCCCTGGTGACTAATGCTATTTTTCATGCAGGTAATACAGTTGGAGTATAGATAAGCTTTTGGATTAGGAGTTGTAACTGTTGGTCACTCTGTACTGTGGGCTGTAGAAGTCCTGGTCCTGGATTTTCATGTCAAGGCAGAGGTACCCTGTCTCCCTTCTCCCAGTGTCTTGCTTTCCATTAAAGGTCATTTGGGCTGGACTGGAGCATCCAGCTCTTCATGACTGCTGGTGACACAGAGCAAGGCTTGCTAGACCACCTTGTAAATTCACTCAAACTCAAGACTGGATGACTTGGCAGATCTTGCAGCTGTGTTTCTGACCCTGGGTATGTGTGGGGTGAGTTCTGCCTTCCCAATGTGCTGTATTGGCCCAAACACTGGAGCCAGACTGGTGCTGCTGGTGTAGGTTGGGTGTTGGTGTCAGCTGCACCGGGCTGGGCATTCATGAGCTATTTTGAGCCCAATTAAGATGAGCCCAAGAACATGACTGTATTATGGCCTTGAGCAGGAAGGATTGTAGCTTTCAAGTGAGTTTTTTGTTTGTTAGGGCTTGTAATGTTACATATTTGATTTGGACCTCTTTGCAATAGTGTCTAGTTTCCTTCTGGCACTGGTGTTTCTAAGGACAGATTGCAGTGCAGTGCAGAGACAGCCCTGAAGACCTGAATCTGTGTAAGCAGAAGCTTTCCTTTGTTAGTGTTATTTTCTCGGAGGATACATCCTGCTACGGAAAGAAAAAACAAAGATTAAAAATAGGAGCAGTATTCTGTGTTGTCTTTAGTGCTGGTTTTAAGCTGATCAGCAAATGTAAATTTGGGGAGGGTCTTCTGACAAGGGCCTGGAGTGCCAGGACAAGGGGGAAAATGGCTTCAAACTGGCAGAGGGCAGGGCTATATGAGATATTGGGAAGAAATTAGTGAGGCACTGGCACAGGTTGCTCAGAGAAGCTTGGAAGTTCTCCAGGCCAGGCTGGATGGGGTCTGGGGCAACCTGGTCTACCAGAAAGCATCCCTGCCTGTAGAAGTGGGGTTGGAACAAGATGAGCTTTAAGATCCCTTCCAACCCAAACCATTCTGTGTTTATGCCACTTTGATGATAAAAGCACAGAGACCTGGCAGGAAGCAAGTGAGGTAATAAACCTGGGGTTACTCCTGCTAGGTCATTCCTGCTCCTGTGATGTGATTATTACTGCTGCTGTATCTTGAAGTATGTAATCAAATCCTGTAAAGTTTCAGTGTAACTTGGAAAACCAGGCAATAAGGGAATGAGAAATAACTCAGTGCATGCAGAGTGCTGGAGATATTTGTGTGTGCCAGTACCACAGCAGGCCAGCAGAACCCTATGCTGTCACTGTGACACCAGCTGTGCTGGAAAAACCTGGCCACAGAGGCTGCCTTAAGCAAGAATGAGACACTCTAGGAATAAATGCTATGGTCTGAAGGAACACAAGGTTAACCACAAGGTCAGGGTTACTGCATCACAGTCTTAAGTAGTGTCCATGATCACTTTAAACCTGCCAGGGTGGGGTGTAGGGTCACTGTGCCATAAATAAGGAATTATGATGTACTGTGCAGACCTGGAGTCATCAGAATGTAAAATATTGCTTCCTATAGATCAGGGTGAGGTAGCAGAGATGCACAGAACTGAAGGGTAAACAGAGTTTGGGGGTGGGGGGGGATGGCACTGTTTTGGTGTGGTCTGGATGAAGAAACAACTCAGCCCAAAGCAAAGTACAAATGTGTACCCATGTGCCAGAAAATGGCAAAGTTAAAGTATTTTTACTACTCACAGAAGGCTGCAGCGGTGTTTAACCCACTGAAAATAAAAAATATCACCAAGGGAACTCTCCTGAAATGAAAATAATGGCTACAAGTAAACAGTTTCATCAAAAACTCAGGTTTTTGCTAAAAAATCTCCCAGATTGGCAGGTTTTGGCTTTTCCTTGTGCTTACACAAGGAAATGGGCAGAGTGCTTCATAGCTGATTAGTTGCAGCCTAAAAGTAATCATAGTTTTGGCTTCTGGACTGCATACAAAAAAAAATTCTGATATCCAGATACTATAAAATAAATTCATAAAAATTTGAACCATGCTGCTAAATGAATTCTGTTCTAAAGCATGATAAGTTGCTAATGGAAATGTATTTGAGTTAATTATGATTATTTAACAAACCTGGTTGGCACTTTGGGTTTGCAGTTGTGTTACAGCCTAGAGTTAGTTATATAATTTAGCTTTAATTTAGTCTTACTAGTTTAACCCTCTGATAAACCATTTCAGTTGCCATGTGGAGCATCTTTTTGTGTCCCAGACTTCAGTAACAGGAAGAAATGATCCAAGTAACTCTGACCTCTAGGCAGTGAGGGGGAAATAAAGCCCTCCATTATAGATCTCTAACAGCCTGTGCAACATAATAAATTCAAAAAGGAGTATTTATCTGGAACACCTTCTGAGGTACCTAGCTGTAGATTTTTGCCTTTCTCTTTTGTTTCCAGAGCATCTCTTCCCTGGTTTGGTGTTTATTTTGCATCCAGCATTGCCCACAGAGGAATTCTGCAGCTAGCACTCACACTCAGTACCTCAGTGCTTCTCAAGGTTCTGGCTCTTCTGGACTACTCGCAACCTTTGTGGTTTCACATCTTCAGCCCTTTTCACCAAAACCTCTCCATAATTGTCAATGTGCATCTGTAGGCTAGGAAAAATGTCAGTATTACCGATTTAGAGTAAGAAGATGGGAAACTACAAATGTTAGGACTGACTCAGCTATTTCTTAGGGCTGCAATAACTGCTGGCTGTGCCCTGTCCTTCCTGCAGCCCTGCCCTATATGGGGGCAGCAGGAGCTCATCTGGGGATGAACCTGAGTCAGCAACTTGAGGGGCCAAAATTCAGTAATGTGACTGAATATTGTTTCCTGAGGGTGGTGAGGCACTGGCACAGATTGCCCCAGCAGCACCGGTGCCTCCAGCCTGCCCCCAGCCTATATTTGCTGTGCTGTTCGTGAACAAGAGTAGACTATTAAAGAGGTCAGCCTTCCCCTGTTGTAAAGCAGCGTGGACAATGTGATATCTGCACTCACTTGATATGCATCCAGGACCTTTGTGTGGACTTTGTGTACCACAGGGTTCACACTGGGGATCTGCAGGCCTGTCAGTGAATGGGGCTTTGTGTGCTGGGCAGGATGTTGTTGACATATTTGGAATTGTCTGCTCGCAGCACCTCTGCACTAACTTCTCACAGTGTCATTTCCTCCACCTTCCCCTCCACATTAAATAACTCAGAGGCTTGGCATGTACCAGGTGCTGGGTGAAGTCCTTAGCAGGATGGGGAACCTAGCACAGGCCCAACGAGTGTAAAAAACAAGGATGGGAAGGAAAATGGAATCATAAAATCTCATGTTTAAAGAGATCTCGAGAATCATCTGGTCTAACCTTTCTTGGTGAAAGCACTGTCCAGAGAAGATGGCCCAGCACCCTGTCAAGCTGAACTGTAGATATGTCTGACATTGAAAAATCCAGTGCTCCCCTGGGGACATTATTCCAATTGCTGTTTGTTCTTATTGTGAAATGTTTTCTTCCTGTGACTAGTAGGAATTTCCCCAGGAGTAACTTGTATCCTTTGTCTTTTCCATGTGACTCCCATGTGACCCTTTGTAAAAAGGGTGTCTCCATCTTCTTTGTAGCCACTCTTCAAATACTGAAATATGGTGATAAGATCTCCTCTGAGACCTTCTTTTCTAAAGGCCAAACAGCTACAGTTGTCTCAGCCTTTCCTCTTGCAGCAGCTTCCCAGTACTTGAGTCATCTTTGCCCTTTTCTGGACCCTCTCCATCTTTTTCAGATCTTTGTGAGGACCAAACTGAAGAGAGTATTCCAGGTGTGGTCTGGCAAGCATTGAGTAGAGTGGGATAATGGCTTTTTCTTCTGTTTTGGTGATTCCCTTGACCCCCAAGATCTTGCCTTCATCCCACAAAGCAGGTACCCAGCAGAACACTGCCTGGGAGCTGCCTTCCTCTGGGGCAGCACCCAAATCCATGTTCTTTCAACTCTAAAGGGGCTAAGTTTTCCCTACAGAGAGTTTTTGATGGGCTCTTAGTAAATACGTTGGGTCCCCCCTGTTTCACCCACCTGGGAACTTGCACTAATCATAAGAACTGTTGCAAATGGCCCAGGCAGATAGGAATGATGGCCAAGGCTAGATGCCTTCTGGTTGACGTAGGAAGAGTAAAAATATTGAGTTGAGGACAGGGGAAAAAAATAACAACTAGCTGGAGGAAGTTCTGAAGAATCATATAAATAGGTCTGAGAACTTGGCTGCTGCACAGCAGTAGTGCCAAAAATAGCTGTGAAAGCAGAGCTGGTGGTGAGCAAAGCTGCAGAGAACTGTGGCGGCTGTGGCTGCTGCTGCTGCAGTGTGAGTAGCAGGAGGTGACAGGAGGAAAACAATACCACAGTTCTTGGTGAGGTCTTTGTTTGCCTTGAGGAATTAACCAATTTTAGCATTTTGCATGTTTGAAAGTCTACTTGTATTTGTTGTCTTGTCTTTAGATGGGCTTAAAAGGAGTTTCCATCAACTTTAAATTAAAAAAAAATAATAAAAACCAAAACACAATCTTCATGGGAAATTTCAACATAGTGACAGTAAATCAACTTAGTAATAATAGCCATGTTATGTCACTGTTGGTCTCAATGCTTTCTCCTTACCTTGCTTTATGAGTGTGCTACTGGGCATTAGTGGAGAGAAAAAAATTTGTCAAGTACAAACTGAAAATCCAAATGTTCAGTGATTTTAGTGACCCTTTCCAAATACAGCAAAAGAAGGGTCTCCACTGAGTGCTGCTCTGGGGGAAGTCACCTACCTTAATATTGAAACAGCAAAGGGTGCCTTGGGAATCAGGGGCATATCCCCTGGGAACAGTCTCACTAGTGATCAGGACCGTCCATGGGGTAGCTCAAAGATTTAATTAAAGGTTAAGTAGATTGTGTTATGAGTGATGTGGTCTGAGTAAGGACTCTGGCCACAGAAGCAGGGTCAGGAAGTGCAGAAATTTCTTAGAAAGTTCGTGGCTTTGTTATGGGTAAAATTTGGTTAGTTTGTTGCAAGTTAAGGTTGTTAATTTTCTAAGTTAATTGTTGCCCTGTTGTGGCTTTGTGAAGAAGTTAATTGTTTTTGAAGTTAATTGAAATGTTATAATAAATTACATTAATGTTAAGAGTTTTAAAGGGGGGAAGTCCAGGACGAGGTGTGAGGGGGTGGTAACAACGTGTGAGTGAAGTCTACATAGTGACATCAGCACCACGAGTGAAGATTGGTAAGAGGGCCTGTCCAATCTCTCGACACCCTGAAGAAAGGATTGGACAGGAATGAATGTTGTTAAAGACCAATAAGAGCCCCCAAAATGGACCAATCGCTGTGAAGATCCAAAACCCACCAATTCTGGACCCAAGGTGGGTATAAAAGGGGGTGTTGGACAGTTGCGTTTGCTTCTCCTGCAGAACTCAGGTCCAAGGGAGCACCCCGTGTGCCTGAGGCCGAGACACACGGAATTGTTCTCTCTGACTTGCTGTGCGGGGGCTGGACTTATCCTGGGTCTCCCGTCTTCTGTAGCTATTTTTAATAAACGAGTGCTACTTTCTATGAGAAAGTCTTTACTCTGTTTCAAAAAAACCGGGTGGCTTTCAGATAGAAGCCTGGCCTTGTTCGCAACAGCTTCATGGTAGCTCAGATGGACTCAGGTCATGGTCAGGCTGAGCAAAAATGAAATATATCAATTCATTTCAACAAGACAGCTGTCCCTTGTTCTGTTTGTTGGGTTGTTGTTTTGGTTTGATTTTTTTAAATAAACACAACTGAAATGGTTTTTTTTGTTTTATATTTTTATGGGATGATTTAAGCAAAATTCATATTCAAATTCCCTTTTGATCTAACTCATATTTTCTGAGCCAAAAATGCTGAGATTAGAAAGTTTCAAACAACTCCTATTCCAACATTTGTTTTAGTTGTTTGAGACAAATAATGCTCTGCACATTTAAGTATTTAATTTCGTCTTGTTTCATGACATAACTGAGTGATTCCTGTATGTTCATTTGCATTTCACTGTCACCAGTGCTGGCAGGTTATGAGGTGGAGTTCACAGATGCCATGAGAATGATGTTGTTTATATAATTTTCTATGCCACCAGCCATCCCTGTTGTCCAGAGAAATTCAGCCTGTCTGAAGCCCTGTAAATACAGGATACCTACCAGTGCAGCTCTTCCTAGGAAAATCCATGAGTCAGTCCCAGTGGAGCATAACTGATGAGAACTAATCAGGCTTCTGCAAGGGCTTGTCCTGAAGTTGACATCAGCTGTTTCCAGACTTCTTTTTTTTGTTACTGACAGAGGAACTACTTTAACCAGGAAAAAACAATAATTAAAAATAAATTATACTATATACTTTGTTCATTTGGAGGCTGAGAAAAGTCCATCTGTTGTCATCAGCTATTTCTACAGGTCTAAGCCTCGAAGGCCATCCTTTCTATGGCAAACGTATTGGGTTGCAACTCTTATTATTAAATAAGAATATGGATCATTCTGATATAGCCAGAATAAGGTTGTGAGATGGAAGGGTGTTGACAGACATGCCAGTGGCAGAAGTGCTTTATAAAGTGTATCACAGGTAACATGCTGTCAGCTGCCTTGAAATCAATGTTTTAAAAACAGACACAGAAGATAGATAGATAGATAGATAGATAGATAGATAGATAGATAGATAGATAGATAGATAGATACACAATGTTTACACAGAGACTGAGTATATCAGCATGTGAAAAAATGGATACACTTTGTTGAAGAAGGAATACTTTCTATAAGTTGATCTAGAAATACAGTGATAATCAATATGTTAATATTGTCCCTTTCCTTACAGCTCTTGGTACGTGGATTAGAGTTGGAAGAGGCACGGGATGAAGGCAAGGCTGGGAAATCCCTCCGCTTGGAAGCAGGGGTCTATTTCTCATGGAGCAGCAGTTGATGGTCTCCACACCAGCAGCTCTGGCTGCAGATGGCCATGTGAGAACTCTCACTGAGGTGTCTGAGATGACAAGAGTTAGTCTTGAACTGAGTGGAGGTTTAAAGCACACGTACTTTGCAACAGGTGAAGATTACTTCACTGTCTGACATTCCATTAATATGCACATAGCAGCTCTGCAATATTTCTACTGATCATCTTCTTGGCAAACCACTAGTTTCTTCAGTGCCAAGGGATGTGGCCCTGTGGAGCCTTTGGCAGTTCCAAGAGGGGTGAAGGTGTCCATTAGGATTTTTGGTCTTGCTGCCTGGCAGGTGCTGAAGGCACTTACACAGCATTTGAAACGGCCTTGTTGGCTGTGTATTTGGCTCTCCTTGACACTGAAGACAGAATTGTGGACCATGAAGTGATGGTGCACGCTGATGTGCCAGTGGTTACATGGGCTTTGGCACCAGTAGCCACTCACGAAATAGGGCATGCACAGGTACATGCAGGAAAGAGCAAAACCAGGGCCGAAAGGAGTTCATCAACTGACTACATGAGCTCGTAAGTCAAAGACACTCCGAACCTAATCATGGGACCTGTGATATATATGCGCAACTATTGAATAGCAGGTAGGGAAAACCCTATGACCAGCTAATTGACATTCAGAAACAAATGGCATGGTTTGCTGATAGTAGTGCAGAAACTAGACAGGGCAAGCCTAGTTGGGGAGCTGCTGCACTCAGTCCAGCTACACAGACTCAATTGGTAGAAGAAGAAGGTAGCAGTAAGTTGGCTGAAATGATTGCTGTCTGGCAAGCCACAGATGCAACACTGCCCAATGCTATTTGTTATCTGTACACAGACTCCTGGGCAGTGGCACAGGGACTTGTAAATTGGCTAGATAAATGGCAGGCAGATAATTGGCAACCAGGCACAAAAACTGTGTGGGAAAAGACATAAGATTGGGATTAAGATATGGGATCTCTTAGAAGAACTAGAAGTGCAAGTGCTCCATGTTGATGCTCACACTGCAAAAGAAGATGAGACAAAGAGATGGAGTGCACAAGTAGATCAGCTGGCTCCAGTGGGGAAAGTGGATACAAATAAGGGAACCTAGGTACAACCGGAGGGGTAAATTAAAAGGTGCAGAGGACCTGCTGAAATAAGGCAACTTGATTACATAGGCACTCACCTCAACCACAGATGGCAGTGTTATGTTAGCGTTGCAGTTGATAACTTTCTAGATGTCATGGTAGCTGTTCTGAGCAGGTATAGCAATAGCTATACAACAATCTACTGTTAAGATACCATGGAGTTATACTATGGGACACCTATAGAAATCCAATCAGATAATGGGTCACGCTTTAAGAATCACCAAGTACAAGCTTGGGCAGAGGACCAGGGAATAAATTGGGTTTGGCATCTACCGTACCATCCACAAGGAGCTGGCATTGTTGAATACCTAAATGGACTGTTAGAACAACAATTAAGTATTTGGGAGACAACTCCTATAAAAAATGGGTTGACCTTTTATCTGAGGCTGTATGGATCTTAAACAATTGTCTGTGATTTGGCTGGGGCACAAACCCCCTTGATGTGTATGAAGGGTCCAAACATCCAATCTGTCAAATTTCCTGTTACATTAGTAGCATATATTAATGGTCAAGAGTATTAAGCCCAAGTAGAAAGTCTCTTATACAGAAAATCACGCTCACATTCTACTTAGCAGAAATACGGTGGGTAAAAACTGATTTAATGATCAGAACACCAGAAGACCAGGAAGTGTTTTTGTAGCAAGTGGATCTGTAGTCTTTAAATCCAGCCACAGCCTAAGAGGCCACTCAAGTTGGGCATCCAGAACATTTCTCCTTCCACCCAAGTACTCCCTAGTTGAGCTATAGGATCAACACAATTCTTTTGTGTTATGCCCTCCCTGTCTTTTCAGGGTCCCAAAGAGTTCTGTTTTTCAGGTGCCAAAGTATGGTATCAACCCCCCATGGAACTTAGTCCTATCTCCACTGAGGTGATAGAAGTAGAAGCAAACCAGGCAGTTACTATTGCTGTTCAAGGGGAATGGCACTGGCGCCAAGCATCTTATGTCAGAGGGAGTAATCAGAAGGAGCGGAGAAAGAGGGGAAGGTAACTATTCTTCTTTTTGTATTTTTTACAGGATACCCCAAACTTATGCCCCCTGGAACAAAACATCTGAGTGACACTGGCTAAGGCAATTGGACAGGATACCATATGCCTTAGCATGGGTATGCCCCAGAATCCATTCACAATGTGTTTGATTGGCGTTCCTCTCATCTCCCGTGAGACGCAACAGTTATGTAAGGACACTTCTGTGTCTGTGACCTGTTCACCTACAGGATTATGCAATTATGCAACAGCCATCTCCACTTGGAAAAATCTCCTGCTTTGCCTTCAAAAGAGCTCTGCATTTTAGGCACCCAGAATGCAGTTAGTTGTACTACCTTTAATTTTATCAGTACAAGAAATGGTCTCATTGCTTGATAGGTCAATGCCACAGTACTGTGGTATCAAAATGCTTCACACTGGTGTAATTCAGCCACACCGTCAATTTTAAGTTCTAGTGTGCATATGCAACTCTCACAAGCTGTCTTCTTAATCTGCAGGGATTGAGCTTGGGTTGTGGTGCCATTGGCCATTAAGGGTGGACCATGTACTTTAGGAAAATGAACCCTTTCCTCTCCTAATACAACTGCTGTAGTATGGATCGAACAAAACTGGACTCATCACCATCACACTAGGGACATATATGCTTTTTCTCCTGACTGCCAAGAAACAGTAGACTTTTAGAATACTGCCAAGATAATTGCTGCTTCTTCACTAGCTCCCAGAGTTGCTAGTGCTAAAGTTCTCACAAGTCTGAATAGACTTGCCTGTTGGTTGGCAAAGTTTAGTAATTCTACTAGCACAGCTATATCTGATTTGTTAATTGATGTAAATATTAGATATTAAACATGCTGTGCTACAAAATTAAGCAGGAATTGACTTTTTGCTTCTAGCACATAGACATGGATGTGAAGACTTTGATGGGTTATGCTGTATGAACTTGAGTGACCATTCTAGTTCTGTCCATGCACAGCTACAGAAGATCCAGACACTAACTCACCATTTTGTAGTGAACACAGATTGGGACCTGTTTGCTGGGT